AGAAGAAACTACAAGTAATCTTCTAGGTGAAGTGGCTACTGGGTATCGGCAGGGTGAAGTGGCTCGGAGGTTGAAGGTGTAGCAAGATCAGGTATTGGTAGCGAGATTTGGAGGCCGGTCATCTGTATGGCTCGTATAAGATCTCTCACCTGCCCGGCATAAGTATGCAGCTGCTCGCCCTGGGCCCTTATCTGCTCCTTCATCTGCTCGCCCTGGGCCCTCATCTGCTCGCCCTGGACCTCAAGCTGCCCCTTTAGGGTTATCACTTCCTCCTTCAATTAATCGACCTCTGTGGTGTTCGATCTAGAAGAAGAGGCACCAGTCTTACGAAGTCGTGCTTTCCCCATGCACCGAACAACCTTGCCGTGACGACGACCGAAGTTCTGATCCAGGACATCAGTCAGGATCTAAAAACCTGCATCCTCAGGTACCGTGACGTCCTCAATTGGGGTCTCCGGGGGAAGCTGCGATGTTGCTTCTTGGAGAACAGTAGTGCTCTTTTCCACCATAAGAGCCTGTAATAATAAAGAAAAAACATATATATAAATAATATTTGAACGATTCATACATATAAGAATAATAACAATTACATATACTTACATGAAGTTGCCTAGCGGTCTCATCTCCAGGTCGAACGTAAACGTCCTCGAACATGTCAATCTCTGGGAACTTAGAACCCTCCTGAAGAAAGAAAAAAAACATTAAGAAAATTTTATTAATCAATAATAATAAATAAATTGTATAAAATTTCTAAATTAATATACTTTTACCTGATGTCGTGTCTGAAGCCTATATGAAAAGGGCTTCGAACCGGAATGGTGGAGAAGTGTCTTTGACTCCCGAGCTATCTTGCCAGCAACAGATTTCTTCTGTTAAACACACAATATACATGTTAATGTGACTATTTGAAATAAATTAATAAAAAAAACTTTAAAAAATAACTAAAACAATAATAAATTATTATTCAAATATTATGTACATACCACAAATTTTGGGTCCGTAAAATGTTTGCAGAGCCATTCCCAATCCTCTGGCCGGTCCTTTAACTCACTTGGGCAACCATGTAGGCAAGCAATCTCCGGAGTATCCCATAGGTTAAAATGCGTGTGAAGATAGTTCTTCCAATGTTTGTACCAGATTGCTAAGGTCTCGTCTAAGTAGGCCTTGACCTCGGGGGATATATCATCAAGATCAAAAATTACCTACGAATATGAAAAACAATAAAATAATAGTAAGAAATATAATAATATTAAGATAATATATTTTGGTTTTTAATATTTGTAAACAAAACTAAAAAAATGACATTGAATTTGTTTATTTAGATGAAGAAAAGAATGCAAGAATCGGAAAAATAATTTATGAACCCAATGACATTCATGAACAAGCAACTCAGACATGGCATAAAGTACAAGATTATAATAAACAAGAATCGATAAGATTAGCTTATGAATTTGAAAAAGAAACAGAAGAGTTAATTTCAAAAATTGATGAAATAGATCAAAATGAATTAAATAACCAGATAAAAGAGTTGGATGATTTAATTTCATTACCAACTTCGATACATACCTAAGTAATCCAGTGAGTCAAAATGAATATACAGAACATCAAGAAGAACAATATTTTTATGCAAAACCAAGTAGTTAAAGGTTAAAAATTAATATACTAACCGACAACTTGTCTCGCACCAAATCCTTCGTCCAATCTGGAATTTCTGCCCACTTCTCCCACTGCATAGGACAATTTTGTTTAATAACAACACCACAGCTACTAGCGACGATGCTATGTTGTTGTGATGTAGCCGCTCCACGATGTAGTGGGTCATACTCAATCTTGATCTTGGAGCCAGTCAAACGTACACTCTGTGCCAACTTCAGCATTCGACTAGGCCCCCTAGTTTTTTTTTTAGCTGGCCAAAAATACTTAAATGGTGAAAACCCAAAGCTTAAATTTGCACAAAAATTTCAACACAACTTCCCCTAATAGTATAGCATTGCCCAAAACCTTAAAACAGTAAAATAACAATAATTCACACCCAGAACACATTTTCACAATCTAGCAAATTTTTAGCATCGTAAAAATAATAATTTTAAAATGAAAAAAAATAAATACAACGTACTCATCAAGAATTAGAAAAAAAAACTACCTAGATGGGAGGCCTCACCCTCGACTTTGGATGCTTCGGAAGTGTGATCAGAAGGGTCCGGCTCACGGCGGCGTCGGTGAGGCCGCCTTGCACTGAGCGGGTGAACGGATACTGATGACGTCGATGAGACAGGCACTTGGGACACCATAGGAGTAGCCTCATTAAGGGGTGTATGCTCCCCATTCAATGGAGCACTCACGCCTGGAGCAGTAGATGCTGATAATGTGGGAGGCACATTGGTCACGCTCCGACGATGAGTGATCAAATGCGAAATCTATACACTTTTTGAATCATAAAATTATAACATTAGAAACTAATAAATTAGCATCCAAAGTAATAAGTAGGTTACCAACACTCTTAATTTCAAAACAAGTACGGGCAATGTATATTTAGATTGAGCAAGTAACAAATTATATCCAACAACCTTATGAACAACCCTGATCACAAAAAATTATTGTATGTGCTTGTGTATATGTGTGTGGATCAACAATTAGATACACAAAATAAATGTGTCTGTTGTATGGCTGATATTATTTATTTGCAATTTGCCAGTGTCTGGTGATTCACTTCTTGTCAACTACTGTCCAGAGATATCACTGGCAAGCACCAACTTTTACTTGTCCTAGAGTTGATACTTCATTTTATTTCAAGGAAAAAGGTGATACTTGTCAACTACAATCCAAAGATATCACTGGCAAGCACCAACTTTTACTTGTCCTAGAGTTGATACTTCATTTTATTTCAAGGAAAAAGGTAATACAAAAAGAGGATGACGACAAAGAAGAAACAATATCTTTGCCAATATGAAGAATCAGAACGAAAAGCTAAAGCACATAAGTTTACCTTATTACAGATGACATTAATCTACAGAAAAAGGTCAAATTTAAGTCATTTTTCTGTATGAAGGATGAACTCAAATTCAAGTCTTACTTTTGGTGATCTAGTTATGTAGTTAAGAACTTTGATATCAAGCAAAGTAGGAAACCCATTAACCCATTTAAAAAGCAGAACTTAAATTACTGATATGGTTAAACTAATCAAACTATTATAAAAATTAAAACAGAAGAAGAAATGGAAATTCCAAATTGCAGTGGCAAACATTTTGCAATCCATCATCCAACCAACTAACAGGGGAAATTGACAAAAACCCAACATGCAATTTGAGCCTAAACCCTAAATAACAAAAACCCATCGAAAATCAAAAACCTTCACCTTGATTTTGGGACTTAATTCGCGTCGGCTTCGAGTTTGGCGTCGCTGCCTTGCGAACGAGAGGGAGAAAGATGAGTCTTAAAAACCAAATTCGGATTCAATAAAGGTTTATACGGGAGGGAAAGAGGGAAAGAAATAGGGAAAAAGGAAAGAGGGAAAAAGGTTTATACGGGAGGGAAAGAGGGAAAGAAAGGGGGGGGAAAAGGGAAGAGGGAAAGAGGTTGATACGGGAGTACGGGAAAGAGGGAAATAAAGAGGGAAATCAAGAGGGAAAGATGGAAACAGGGAAACAGGGTTTTTACGGGAATGAGGGATAGAGGAAAAGTGGTCTATTAATTATATGGGAAAGAGGGAAAGAGGGAAGAGGTCCAAACTTAGGAAAATTTAAAAAATGCGCCTATTTTTCACTATTTGACTGCCAAAATTATCATAACTTGCACGACGTAGGTATACAATTTGACGTCGCGCAAAGTGGTCATGTTAAGGCGTCACGCAAGGTAATTTTTTTTTCTTCCAATTATTATAAAAATTACTGAAAATATGACTTTACTCTTTTCAAATTCAAAATTTTTTTACATAAACCCCACAATAATATATTTTTCTAATAAAAACCCACAATCAATTTTTTTTACATATATATTATTCAATTTCTTAAGTGTTATAATTTGAATTAGAATTTAGATCAGCATTTTTTTTGGCGAATTATGTGGGATCGTTTAAGTTTGTGCATGTTGTTTAATTGGTTCTTAATTTGTTTCGAGTTTTGAATTTGCATTGATTTTATCTAGGCATCAGTTGCTTTGATTGAATATTTACTTGAAATGGTTCAAATTGTTTTACCCAGCTTGAATTGTGGATTTGTTGCTTCAAAAGCACTCGATTTGCATCTTTTTGCTTTGAGAATTTTCTTAGACTTTTGTTGCTCTCGGTTCAGACTTGAGCGTTATCGAGTAGAAGAATTTGTGGAAGAATGTTCATGTAATCCACTCAACTTACTTAGAATTAGGCAACTTGAATGAGACAAGCAAGATTTTTGTGATGAGTTGATGCAATGTACTTGTTAACTGGTTTCCTTCAATTTTTCTTAGTTATACAAGCTAGTGGTGCAACCCAGAGGTCCTTTATATGGTGTTGTAGATTTTTGATCAAATTATGGTTGAAAGTGTAATTCTTACTGTTGGGTGTTCACTATTTGCCTACATATTTCTTGTCGTCAAAGTCACCAACAGAGCTCAATACAACGTCACCATCCACTGGTAACTAATAACATGTTTCTTATGTTGTCTAACAGTTACGTAAGAAATTAAAAATTATCTACTCTTCACTTTCTCATAAAAAAAATAAACATTTCATGCATGGGATTAGGCAAATGAGAACTAGATGGGCAGATGGGCCAGAATTTGTGACTCAATGCCTGATTAGGCCAGGAGGGAGCTACACCTACCGCTTTACAATTCAAGGGCAAGAAGGTACTCTGTGGTGGCATGCTCACAGATCATGGCTTAGAGCCATCGTTTATGAAGCACTCATCATTCATCCTAAACAAGGAGACTCCTACCCCTTCACGAAACCGAAAAGAGAAACAACCTTTCTTCTCGGTGAATGGTGGAACGCTAACCCTATCGATGTCTTCAGGCAGGCGACGATGACAGGAGGAGCTCCAAATGTTTCTGATGCATACACCATCAATGGTCAACATGGTGATCTTTACAACTGCTCAAGCCAAGGTACCATAATTGCAATTCTATCCTTGATAAAACATTATGATATTGATGTAACAACTAAGTTTAACATTCCACGCACATAATATGTGTTTAAACTTACCCGGTAATTAATGTAATAAGTAAATCTTATGTGCCACGTATAAGCTAGTAAATTTTTATTATGATTTCTGTATGCAGACACTGTCATAGTTCCTATAGACTCCAGCAAGACGAACCTTCTTAGAGTCATCAACGCTGCACTCAACCAACCTCTTCTCTTCTCTGTAGCCAACCACAAGCTCACCGTTGTTAGAGCTGATACCTCCTACACCAAACCTTTCACTACCACGGTTCTCATGTTAGGGCCTGGGCAGACCACTGATGTTTTAATCACCGGTGGCCAGTCACCAGCCCGATACTACTTGGCGGCAAGTGCTTATTTCAACACGCAAAATGCAGCATTCGAAAACACCACCACCACCGTCATTCTTAAATACAAGTATGCCCCTTGCATCCCCAATTAACAGCCTCTTAGCATGCTCCACCACCAATTTCCCTATTGGGTGTTCAGTATTTGCCTACATATTTCTCAAATAGAGGAATGTTAGCATGAATGACAAAACAACTTTACGATAGCATAAACAGTGATTTATCTCATCCTAACTACTCTACAAACACTAACATTTTTAATGCAACTACGCAAATGAAGCTTTTAATGTACAAATTTGAAATATAAGCACCAACCTCTGTGGCAATAGAGACAACACAGAACTCCTCCATTGAGTAATTGGAGACGACCACTGCATTGACTACCATTTCCCAACTGTCAGAGTCCCTGTTTTATCAAAGCACCAACCTCTATGCTAAAAAATGTCAGTAAACGTCCAGACATCAATAAAGTGTCAAATGCCAAAAATGTATCAACCTTCATGACTTAGGTACCATTTGTTCAACTTTTAATTCAGATTGTTTGTTCATGTAATGGTATTCGACAGGTAGATTTTCTTGTGGGACACTAATATCTGTCATATGTGTGATTTTCTTGTTGGTGAAGATGCGAACGCCTAAAGGACGAGAAACTTTGAAACCCTTAAATCCCGCATAGGCTATGACTGGGTAGATTTAGAGTGCTTAAGTAAGTCGTATAATGTTTATATCCATTATTTATGCCTTTTGTGAATAAGCTTTTAGCTGTTTAGTGGTTGCTTAGTTTTATTTGTTTCTGTGCATTATGTGTTCTAGGGCCTTAAGTTTGTCATGCTATTGTTTTTTGTTTAATTCAGTTACGCAAACTCAAAAGAGCCCATTATTTGCAATCACCTTAATTTACCAGACTTTTTCAAATGAATTTAATTTATGATGATTTGAAGTAAACGTCATTTTAATTTCCATTGTTGGTAGATTCGCACAAGACATGTATGCTTGTATTAGGCTATAAAATGAAAAGTTTTCCCTTCGTTCAATTTCACGTTTTTGCTCACGTTTTAATCTCTCTTCCTTGCGTTGCCTCTCACGCATCAACCTCTCTTTTCTTTTCGTCTCTCACATTTTTCCATTTCCTTCTTTTATAAACAGAAAAATCAAAATATCAGCATATTAATTGCTATATATGCTTCAGAAAAAATTGTTTAGGACTTAAAAATAGAACCTTTCTCCTCAGAATTTCTTGTTTCTCCAGCTCCTTGCAGATTCGCAACTCATGACCTTCAACTTCTTTAGCGATTCTCGCTTCTTCACCTACAAGATGCAACTGTTTAAGTCCTTGGTTGACAAAATATACTATACTAAAGTTAACTAAACAAGTATACCTTGCGTTTCCTCTCAATTCTCAGGATAGAGTCATTAATTTGGCCTTCAGATAATACGTTAGAGTTTTCTAGTGCAGGTGCAACAACAGGGGGATCACTAAACTGAGTATTTACCCTCACGTTAGAGAAGGAGTCCCTTTGTGCTACACTGCCATCATCAATAGGAGATCAAAATTTTCAATATATTGGGAATTTACCAAACTGAGTATTTACCCTCAATCATATATGCATAATAAGAACAAAAAAGATCAAAATTTTCAATATATTGGGTAATATTAACAAAAATTTCAATACAATCATATATATAAAAAAATGGATGAATAACATAGATGTTTTTAAATCACCTGAGTGTGATCAGGTGGCTATGGAGGTTTGCAACTGAGGAAGAGGGGAAGGCAGCTATGGAGCTTTTGACTTGGGTTAGAACACTGGAAAGAAAGACAAAAAGGGACATTTTCGTGTTGACTTTGCGCGACGTAGTGAACCTACGTCGCGCAAAGTTGGAAAAAGCGGAAACATCCATAATTTGGCGCCAAATCTTGCACGACGCATACCTACGTCACGCAAAACAGGTTTGCGTGACGCACTTAAACCTACGTCGCGCAAAGTCCTCTTTTTTTTTCTTTTTTTTTTTTTTTTTACCCGTTTTGCTTATGAGTACAAAATAAATAAAATAAAATCTACTTAGTAAATACATATACCATTGAATTTGATAGGAAACACATTATCCGAAATTAGTTTCAACGATCCAACCGTCAAACTTGTTTTTATATACTTGGAGATCCCATACGCCAAAAATCACAAAAAACAAACATGCAGAGATTAAGTAACGGGACAAACCTTTTCGACGGCTATAAACGAAAAATCACGATTTAACGGTTATATTAACTCCGATTTTGATGATTTTTTACAGCTACACTCATTGACCCTTCATGAATCCAACAAACTGGTTCGATTTTCAATTTAAAATATTTACAAAAGTGAATACCACAAAATATTATGTTATACTTAATGAAAGTATAAATAAACTCCAAGTGTTAGTGAATCTAATGTTTTGATGGGATACGCATTGTACAAAACTAGTTTAACGATCCAACCGTCAACTTGTTTGTATATGCTTTGAAATCGCATACGCCAAAAATTGTAAAAAATAAATGTGTAGAGATCAAACAACGGGACAAACCTTTTCGACGGCTATAAACGAAAAATCACGATTTAACGATTATATTAATTCCGATTTTGATGATTTTTTATAGCTACACTCCTTGATCTTGTATGAATGCAAGAAACTCATTCGATCGTTGATTTCAAATATTTACACAAGTGGATACCACAAAATCTTATGTTATACTTGATGAGAGTATAAATAAACTCCAAGTGTTAGTGAATCTAATATTTTGATGGGATACGCATTGTACAAAACTAGTTTCAACGATCCAACCGTCAAACTTGTTTGTATATGCTTTGAGATCGCATACGCCAAAAGTTGTAAAAAACAAACGTGTAGAGATCAAACAATGGGACAAACCTTTTCAACGGCTATAAACGAAAAATCACGATTTAACGGTTATATTAACTCTGATTTTGATGATTTTTTTATAGCTACACTCATTCATCTTGTATGAATGCAAGAAACTCATTCGATTGTCGATTTCAAATATATTACACAAGTGGATACCACAAAATCTTATGTTATACTTGATGAAACTATAAATAAATTCCAAGTGTTAGTGAATCTAATATTTTGATGGGATACGCATTGTACAAAACTAGTTTCAACGATCCAACCGTCAAACTTGTTTGTATATGCTTTGAGATCGCATACGCCAAAAGTTGTAAAAAACAAACATGTAGAGATCAAACAATGAGACAAACCTTTTCGACGACTATAAACGAAAAATCACGATTTAACGGTTATATTAACTCTGATTTTGATGATTTTTTATAGCTACACTGTTTAACCGTATATGAATACAATGAACTGATTCGATCGTCAATTTAAAACATTTACACAAGTGGATACCACAAATGAAAAAGGCAATGCAAGAACCCCAAAAGAAAAGGAAAAGGCCAAAAAAAAAAAGGACTTTGCGCTGCGTAGGTACAATTATGTCGCACAAGCCTGTTTTGCGCGACGCAGTCGTACCTACGTCGCGCAAAGTCCTTTGTTTTTTTTTTAACCCGTTTTGCTTATAAGTACAAAATAAATAAATTAAAATCTACTTAGTAAATACATATACCCTTGAATTTGATAGGAAATGCATTGTACCAAACTAATTTCAAAAATCCAACCGTCAAACTTGTTTGCATATACTTGGAGATCCCATACGCCAAAAATCGCAAAAAACAAACATGCAGAGATTAAGTAACAGGACAAAACTTTTCGACGGCTATAAACAAAAAATCACGATTTAACGGTTATATTAACTCCGATTTTGATGATGTTTTACAACAACACTCATTGATCCTATATGAATACAACAAACTGATTCAATCGTCAATTTAAAATATTTACACAAGTGGGTACCACAAAATATTATGTTATACTTAATGAAAGTATAAATAAATTCCAAGTGTTAGTGAAGCTAATGTTTTGATGGGATACGCATTGTACAAAACTAGTTTCAACAATCCAACCGTCAAACTTGTTTGTATATGCTTTGAGATCACATACGCCAAAAATTGTAAAAAAAAAACGTGTAGAGATCAAACAACGACACAAACCTTTTCGACAGCTATAAATGAAAAATTACGATTTAACAGTTATATTAACTCCGATTTTGATGATTTTTTAAAGCTACACTGTTTAACCCTATATGAATACAATGAATTGATTCGATCGTCAATTTAAAACATTTACACAAGTGGATACCACAAAATATTATGTTATACTTAATGAAAGTATAAATAAACTCCAAGTGTTAGTGAATCTAATGTTTTCATGGGATAAGCATTGTACGAAACTAGTTTCAACTATCCAACCGTCAAACTTGTTTGTATATGTTTTGAGATCGTAGACACCAAAAATTGTAAAAAACAAACGTGTAGAGATCAAACAACGAGACAAACCTTTTCGACGGCTATAAACGAAAAATTACGATTTAACGGTTATATTAACTCCGATTTTGATGATTTTTTACAGCTATATTGTTTAACCCTATATGAATACAATGAACTGATTCGATCGTCAATTTAAAACATTTACACAAGTGAATACCACAAAAGAAAAAGGCAATGCAAGAACCCCAAAAGAAAAGGAAAAGGCCAAAAAAAAAAAAAAAAAAAGAGGACTTTGCGCGACGTAGGTACAATTACGTCGCGCAAGGCTGTTTGGCGCGACGTAATCGTACCTATGTCGCGCAAAGTCCTTTTTTTTTTTTTTTTTTTTTTTTTTTTACCCGTTTTGCTTATAAGTACAAAATAAATAAATTAAAATCTACTTAGTAAATACATATACCATTGAATTTGATAGGAAACACATTGTACAAAACTAATTTCAAAGATCCAACCGTCAAACTTGTTTGTATATACTTGGAGATCCCATACGCCAAAAATCGCAAAAAACAAACATGCAGAGATTAAGTAACGGGACAAACCTTTTCGATGGCTATAAACGAAAAATCACGATTTAACGCTTATATTAACTCCGATTTTGATGATTTTTTACAACAACACTCATTGACCCTATATGAATACAACAAACAAATTCGATCTTCAATTTAAAATATTTACAAAAGTGGATACCACAAAATATTATGTTGTACTTAATGAAAGTATAAAAAACTCCAAGTGTTAGTGAATCTAATGTTTTCATGGGATACGCATTGTACGAAACTAGTTTCAACGATCCAACCGTCAAACTTGTTTGTATATGCTTTGAGATCCCATACGCCAAAAATTGTAAAAAATCAAACATGTAGAGATCAAACAACAGGACAAACCTTTTCGATGGCTATAAACGAAAAATCACAATTTAACGGTTATATTAACTTCGATTTTGATGATTTTTTACAGCTACACTCCTTGATCTTATATGAATGCAAGAAACTCATTCGATCGTCGATTTCAAATATTTATACAAGTGGATACCACAAAATCTTATGTTATACTTGATGAAAGTATAAATATATTCCAAGTGTTAGTGAATCTAATATTTTGTTGGGATACGCATTGTACAAAACTAGTTTCAACGATCCAACTGTCAAACTTGTTTGTATATGCTTTGAGATCGCATACGCCAAAAATCGCAAAAAAAAAAACGTGTAGAGATCAAATAATGGGACAAAACTTTTCGACGGTTATAAACGAAAAATCACGATTTCATGGTTATTTTAACTCCGATTTTGATGTTTTTTTACAGCTACAGTCTTAACCCTAGATGAATACAATGAACTGATTTGATCGTCAATTTAAAATATTTACACAAGTGGATACCTCAAAAAAAAAAAAGGCAATGCAAGAACCCTAAAAGAAAAGGAAAAGGGCAAAAAAACAAAAAAAATAATTAAAAAGGGACTTTGCGTGACGTAGTACAAAATAAATAAATTAAAATCTAGCTACTTACTAAATACATATACCATTGAATTTGATGGGGGTACGAAATTAGATTCAATGATCCAACCGTCAAACTTGTTTGTATATACTTCGAGATCGCATACGCCAAAAATCGCAAAAAACAAACATTCAGAGATCAAGTAACATGACAAAAAATTTCGTCGGTTATAACGAAAAATCACAATTTAACGGTTATATTAACTCCGATTTTGATGATTTTTTTACAGCTACACTCCTTAAGCCTACGTCACGCAAAGTTGGCAAAAAAAGGGTAAAGTATTCTTTGTTTGGTGCCAAAATCTTGCGCGACACACAAAATGTCGCGCAAAAGGCATTTGCGCGACGGCACTTTGCACGACTAAGGCTGGCGCTGCGCAAAACACCTTTGCGCGGCGCAGGAGCTGATGCGTCGTGCAAAGCTGTTTTGCGCGACGCCAGCCTTAGTCGCGCAAAGTTCCGTCGCGCAAATGCCTTTTGCGTGTCGTTTTGTGTGTTTTGGTCGCGCAAACATACTTTACGCGACGAAATTTGATCCGTCGCGCAAAATTCGGTCACGCAAACATGTTTTTATACTAGTGTAAGATAGTACCCACGTATTAAACCAATCAACACGATGATACTATTTATCTCATCCTGCAATCAGTGGAGCGGAATGCACTTAAGTAGGTGGTACATATAAAGATTAGAGTTCGTATTAAAGGCTATAGATATATTAAAGGGAACTTTAACGAAAAGCTTCTAGTATTGTTCACTTAATGAAAAATTATATTTTTACACTAAAAATAGTCAATCATGGTACTATTCAGTTTACCCTTTATTTTGT